GTTTTTCACACGATTAAAGTTTAGAACCGCCAGCCCTATGATAGAGGACGTGACAATTGTCGCCAACGTGACGCCGACGCGCCGTGCCGTGATCTCACTAACGACGCGACGCCGGGAATCGACAACTAGCTCTCATTCAGGTTAAATTGCATCTACTATCTGGCATTGTGCTGAATTGGTCAAGGAAAGAGTGCTAGATAGATATAAAGCTGAAAATACAAAAAAACTACAATAGGTTTAACAGTATTTTCACTGAAAATACAATAATTTACAAACAGTTTAACAGTATCTTTAGTATCCTATTGGGTAGGATAATGAACGTGCAGAATGATTTTTTCCTTATATTTTTCTTTAAAGCACAGTTTGAAATAAAAATAAAATGCCTTGTACCTACATAAAAAAAATTGCATGGTTCATCAAATTTAATAAATTAACACAAAAAAGAAAGCCGCGTCTGCCGTGCTGCTCTATGTGTTAAACATAATTCGCTATGGTATACAGAAACGAGAAATTAACAAAAACAAAAATTGATCACCAACATAATGACATCAAATAATTCCTAATAATTTTCCTCTTATACAAACCAAGAAGATTTACATTTATATAAATATAAGTCTATTTATATTTATATAAATGTAAATCTTCGGTAAGCGTTTCTAAGCAATTGTCGTTTTGTGCAAAATAATGACCCAAATGTTCAAATAATATTTTTAGCACTGTTCAAGTGTTCAATTTAGTGGATGTTTTAGCCTTATCGCTTAAGTTGCTGTATTGTGGACGTTCTATTAATAAATGCTATCCAGATTCACACGATCGAATAAAACGTAGCAGCAGTGCATGAGCTTATTACTAGTAATGTCCAGAATTTTGTAGTACTTCATTAATATATCGCCTGCTATTAATATATATATACTTATTAATATATACTTCATTAATATATTAGAGGAGCTCAATGGCGCAGGTGGTTAGCGCGTTCGGCTGCGATCGTTGAAGTTAAGCAACTTTCGCTGTGGTCGGTCATTTGGATGGGTGACCAAAAATTTACTATCTCGAGCTCCTCCGTGCTTCGGAAGGCACGTTAAGCCGTTGGTCCTGGCTGCATTTGCAGTCGTTAGCACCCACCAATCCGCACTGGGCCCGCGTGGTGGGTCATGGCCCACTCTCCCTATTCCATCCATAGGGAAGGCCTGTGCCCCAGCAGTGGGGACATTAATAGGCTGATGATGATGATGATATTGCCTGCAATGCAAGTTTATATTCGAGTCTAGAATGAGTTATCTGTGATTTGATGATGAAAATATGAGAATCATAGCTAATCGTATATGGGGATAAAGTTTTGAGAATAAAATCACTTCAAATACTATTTAATTCGGTACTTTTATTAATGTGACGCAACTAGCACTATAAAAAGATTTGATTCTTCTTAGTCCCTAATTACCTATTAGCCAATTAAGTATTTGATGAGGAAAATCCAGCAACTTTTTATGACAAGGTCAACGGGCGTTTATGTTAATTGTAATATCATGGTTTTTCAAGATATACCACATTTTAATCTTTAACAAAATCTGACTAACCAGACATCCTTAATAATAAAGTATATGTATATACTTTTGAAATTTCTACCGGAAATTCGGGATAGAATACTTTATTCACTTGTAATTAAAGTTATTTATAACAGCATAGAAAAGTTTTATTATGATTTGGTATGTCTGTACATACAAGTAGGTAGTACCGGAGTACGCTATTAAATTCGCAGAAACTCAAGAGTCAGACCTCTAATTGCGCTGAGCAAAAACAAGTTATTGACAATGGGATTGTTATGAGCAATCCGTTGAGTAAGATCTACTTTTTAATATCATGACTCACGCTTTCAGGGATAGATGCGTAGGTATTTCATGAGGAAATTATTATTGGGATTCTCTGAATGAGAATATGATGAATTGAATTAACAAAGCGAGCTTTGTATTAAATAACATTCATTACATTCTCTTGTTTGACTATGGGCATCGCTGTAAATGAGTATTTTCCCGCCAATTTAGAAATGGTAGCCAATGAAGTTGTGATGCAACTTTAATCTGTGTGAAAATCCTTGTAAACCTGCAAACGGTCCGATGGTTAGTGGCCCTGGCGAAACCGTACAGTATTATTCGCACGTTATCCTAACCTAACCTACATACTTAAATAAAATAAAAGTCATAAATGCAAAATATAATTAAAATTAATAATAATAACATAAAATTAACGCTGTTAACGTCGATGTTATCCGAAAGCATTGACTTAAAAAGTGGCATTCAATGATCATTTATTTACCAAAAAAAACCCAACCTAACCTTACCCCGTCTAGCCCTGGAACATTTACTAAACGACAGAAACGCAATACCACCCTAAAATACTGTTATTTCACCATAAGGTGAAGGTTAGTTCTTCAGATGGCGCTACAAAGCTAGTGAAAAATTCGCTAAACCTTTCATCTCATTGTATTTTTTTTAGACGCACGCGCAACCGATTTTAATTTACGCGCTGTTAGTTTGATAGGAAAATTATTTGGTACCTACTGAGAAGACGTGTTATTGAACAAAAAAGTTAATTTTTGTGAAAAGGTTGTTATCAAATAAATTGGAAGCATTAAATAGTAACAAAGTTAAACAAAGACGATGTTTAAAAAAAATCTACAATATTGTTAAAAATATACTTATACATATGCGGCGCACTTTGTAGTTTTTCTTAATTTTAGAAATCCATTCAAAAAATAACATTCTGGAATCATAATCTCGCAGCAAGGTATCCTTTGATTCTTCTATCTACAGAAATAAACTACTTTTTTGTCGGTCATGTAAAAATCTAAGGCAAGATGTATGACAGAGTATGGCTAGAGAACAGCTTTGATGACTCGGCTGATTTACTTCTGGTGATATTTATGATTTTCAGGTTTGTATTATATGAAACAAAATAGGCAATCAAAAAATTTCCCAGAAATCATTCAGATATTCGAAAATCGTTAGTGTTTCAAACTAAACTCTCAACCAGTATATACCTAGTTACTTATGTATACACATTAAAACCACAACCAAAATCTCAATGTTTCGTACAGATAATCTGATGAGGGATGCTATCGTTATCATTTAAGATAATAAAACACTTATTTACATAATTAATGGAACCAGTTTGGACGCCTGACCTGTTTACACTAGTCATTAATTGTCAGCTAATAAAATGATTCCAGTATTTTAGAATGGGTTCCGTAAGTAAAATCTGTCAGAATATTGCTTGATTTTGTTTAGGTACAATAAGTTCTCCCAATTTTGTTTATTTTGTGAGAAGTAAAAATAAAGTTGAAATTAGTGATAATATTTCCAATAAAAACCTATTAATAAAATCAAAATATAATTAAAAAAAACAAGCCCCCATACAAAAAAATATGTTATTTTAGCCCTGGTAGAAGTACGGTACCATTTCTGTGTGAGACCACCTCTCAATTGGCCGATTTTTTTTAAATCCAATCGAACAAAACCTTGTATCAATTATGTTTAACTTATTACTTATAACCTGATATATGTATAGAAATCCTGATGTCTCCCCTAGGGGGACCGACCATTTACCCGTGGAACCCTGATATCATGAATGTCTTGGAAGCAATCAGCGCGTCCCATTTGGCGTCTGGTTTTGGCAGTTATGACTATTAACATGTGGATCAAAAGCTGCAATAGTTTTTTATCAGAACATTTTGAAAGCAACATAAATTTATCTTTGTAATTTTAAAATGTTGTTCTTCTAAACGTTTTGTTTTTAATAGTTTTTAGTATTTGCATTGTTAACTAATCATACTGTTACTTTTAAATACTTACTAGCGGCCGGCCCCGACTTTATCCGCGTTAACTTTACTCTTTTGAAAATCCTATGTCTCTTTCGATATAATAAACTATATGTGTGTCAAATTTCATCCAAATTAGTTCAGCCGTGTTTGCGTGATTGAGTAACAAACAAACTTTCACATTAATAATATTAGTTGGATTAATTCTAATGGTACGTACCTAAATAGTTAGGAACTGTTACAGCTTTTCGTACTACAGAAAAAAGGTTCTTACCTTAAGGTTAACTTAGTTCCAAAAGTATTCTCAAGCGTGCGATCGTCTTTACTTTTTTTATCATGCAGATTATATTTGAATGGCTCGAGATCAAACGTTAAAGTCACTATCAAGTTGAAGATACCAGTAAATCTGTCTCTCTGTAAAATGTTCATGACAGTTCAAGGCAACGACTGGCGCCTGGGCATTCGGCTTAGGACACTAACAAATTAATTTCTCAGTATCGTTTTTACAGCTGCACTGTCTCTTACGATACATGAGAAGTGTTTGGTAAAGTTCATGGCTGTTTCTTTGCTTAGTTTAAAATTTCTTGCTGCAATTTTTGAAAATGCATTCAGTTTATTGTTATCCTACTAATATTATAAACGTGAAAGTTAATAAAAGAAAGTCAATTACGCAAATACTACTGAACGGATTTGGACGACATTAGGTATGCACATACTTCATGACCTGTTTAGAGACGTAAGAAACTTTCTATCACAAAATAATGTTAGGTGCTTTTGGGATTCCCTAAAAACCAAAAGCGGACGAAGTCGCAAGCGGCCGCTAGTTTATCATAAGCTTTGGTAAAAGACTGGGTAGGTATTTAGCAATTTAAAAGAATAATCTAGCAATGAACTTTGTCCTCCTTAAACTCCATGGTACTACATTAAGCTAATTCACAAAAAAATAAAAAATAAATTAACCTAAATGTACGTTCTTAAATTCTTAAACGTTGTTGTTCTTTTTTTAGAACCGAAGGCGGAGTCCATTCATTTGTCACTTTCATTGCTTTCATGTCCCATAAATGGAGACAGCCATCGACGTTCACGAAATTAACGAAACCGGTAACTAGGAGTAAGCGTACCCAAAATTTATCTAGCAAAATAAGATTTCATAATCGTAAGACAATTCTAAAAATATGAAGGTACTTACGATAAAAACTTAGCCAAATTGAGCCGGTCCAGATATAAAAAAGTTCCAAACTTATCTAAAGATATTAAACAAAAGAAAATCACAAGAAAAGTGCCACAAAAACCACGTTCACATCACTCATAATCACATTCGAAATTATTTAAAAACAAAACACAATTCAAATTCGAACCGTTGCATCGATTCGAAAACAATCGTTTCGTTGTCGTAAGTTCCGAATAGTCAAGTCGATCGAGGCACCCGTCACTGAGAGCAGCGTACACGCGAATGAATGGAACCAGCTACGTGAGACTGGTATCAATCAAGTGCAGAGAAAAACATCGATTGAGTAGTGCGATCGCAGGAGGGCAGTCTAATTAACGCGTTTCGGTTTAAACAAGACCTTTTAAGTGTGCAAATTTGTATGAGCGCTATATGTCGTGACATGCGACCTGTAATGATCCGATAAGACATTACATACTCGCCCGGTCATGGTAAAACAATTATGCAAGAGCTTAATGTGTATGTAGATTAAAAACCTGCAGTGATGTTATTTCGTGTTACGTATCGCGCCTTTTATGGTGTTTCCATATTGGCGCACGTAAAAAAGGAAATCTTATGAAGAAGGATCTAAATTAAAATATCCCTGATAGGCATTCTGTACTAGTATAGAATAAATTTATATGTTTTTGTTTTGTTGTTAATTTGTTTTATTTATATGGTATTGGATACTAGGAGACCTCAACTTTTTAATTGCCGCAAAGAGACTTTTAGTTACAGGTTAATATTTTTGGTTGTATTCCATTTTATTTGGTGTATTACTGGATTTTTTTGGAATGTTAGTAGGTACATTGTGAGACACGGATCGTGTAATAACTACTATTTGAAAATGTATGTTACTCCAACTCAAACATATCAGTGAAAAATTTTCCCAACCCAACCCAATTATCGCACACTTAATATGTCACATCTGTAACAGTGATGAATGCATCTGCTGCACGACTTAAAAATTACTATAAAATGCACAGATATGCGTAAGCAATTATTTTTGATGAAGTCATACAAAAGTGAAGCTAAAATTATGACACTAATTTAATATTAGGTATCTTATTTTTATTTTGTTGCTTAAAAATAAAAGCAAAGGTTTTTTTTAATTTCTTCAAAAAAGACATGAAGGAGTTTCTCGAGCGTCGGGCCTGGTTTCACAAATGTCTGGTTACCGCTTAGAACCGTACGTTAGTTAACCATGTCAGAAAAATGTAAAAAAGAAAACACTTTTCTTTTGTTCATTTAATTCGGAGCTTTTATCGCCATGGATATGCCAACTTTAATGTATCTACTAATGTTATTATATCTGAATATCTCTTATCTAATAGACAAGTCCGTCCGTGGTGCTGTTTCAGCGGCCAAACCGTAAGAGATAGATATAGAGAATGTTTAAGTTATAAGTTAAGAATAGTCTGATAAGACTACAAACCGGATGTGAGTAACGTAGCACTTCCGGTTTTCGAGAAATCACGTGATTTGTATTTCAAACGAAACCACACAAAATCTCCGAAGTTCTCAATTAATTAAATACATTTTTTTTTTGGTGAACATTTGGTTCACTGGTTTGCTAGTTTTTACTTAATTAGCTCTAATAAAATTTCTAAAACTGTTTTCATTTAGATTAAGAACACAAGAACATAGAAAGAGGTTAAAAGGGACTTGTGGGGTGAGTTATGGAGCAAATGCTGATTACTTGACCAAAAATTGGTTCTGATTGCGTTGTTGCACTCGGGTGTGAGCGCTGATTGGTTCGATTGTTTAATGTCGCGTCGTTGGATTGGTAGGGGTGTGCCAGCGACATCGGTTCTCGTAGAAACGGTCAATTTTCACCCTTCTTACCTCTTCCTATGTTCTGTGATTAAGAAGAATACTCTAACCTCCTTATTAATAAACAAGGAATAAGTTTAGACTATTTACGCCGTGTTTTGTTTATATCATTAAAATGCCATTTGTCATTCTATGAACAGAGACAACATATGGAGTAACTAATCCAGCTTATTTTTCGTTTATAAATTAGGGAGATATAGTTATTTATGTTATTTACGGGATTGCGACATTAAGCGAGTCTCCATTAGTGTCTATGAAAGTTTAAAACAATATATCGTATAGTTATTATATACAAAATTAAATGTAATATCTGCAAAATATAAAAATACGTAAGTATTTCTGACAGAAGTTTAAAATAATACTCTGACTCGACATTCAACACATCAAGTGTTATAGATAACATTGGAATAACTCGACCCGCTGTCCGTTTAACCCAATTACAAATGGGAGACTTTATTATTCGGTTACCAAGGGTCAAATTCCAATAAACTAGAACGCCTAAAGGACTGGATTGACTATAATAAATCACACTGTCATGTTAGACATGCAAACAATCGGATTGTTTGTCAGGCCCAGTCATCTTAACTAAACGTTAGCTCGGCTAACGATCTATTGCGGATGCTACGCAAAAAAAGTCAAGAGCGATTTCGAATCTGGCTTTAGGTAAGTACAGTTATTTGTTTATGATATTGATGGTATCTAATATTATTTAGTCAATAACAACATAAATATATCATAGACAGCGTGTGACTGTTTTTCTTTGAAAATCTTATACAATATCTTATTCGCATGGTTCTAATGATTTGCATGAAATGTAGTAGTTTGCTTTATTCTATTTTTAGCAATAAAGTACTTATAAATTGTAAGAAAATTATAAATTTTTCAAGTATCATTCAAACCAACGCCTTTTGTATCCGGGAGCTAATTCTGGTACTGGTTCTAATCCAACCTGACGCGTAGGCTGAATAGATTTTTTTCTAGTGCATATTTTATTTTCTGAAATGTTGTATATAAAACGTTTGCTTCGTAAAAGTATTTCTTTATACTTTATTTTATTGTTAAAACACAAAAAACTACCGACGAAACCTTGATTGCCCAGGTACACTATAGTAACAATATTTGAAAAATGACACGTTTTACTTTCAAAAAGCTTGCATAAAAAGTAATTAGTAGTATAGTTTTATTTTTCTTGCCTCCTCCTTAATTACGGAACCCTAAATTCTTCAAACAAAATTTTAAACTATAATTTTTTTGCGACTGTTTTTGACGGCGGTGAAAGGTCACCCTGGGAGGGCCTTTTAAGATCCCTAATTATCCACTTAATTGTATTTTTTTTTACTACTAAGGATTAATTGTGTTTTTACTATTGGTTATTTGGATACACAGAAAAGCTATTAAATTTCGATTATTGTTCCTTTTATATGAGATAGCTATTAATTTATAGTAGGTCTGTTAAAGAAAATTTTATCATATAAAATCTTATAAGGAGATTTTTTAGCTTTGGGTTAGTTCATTGTATAGAAAACTTCTGCTAAATTGTCAGATACAATTAGATAATAATTATGTACTTTGATTTGAATTTAAAGGCGAAGGGATCTGACTATAATCAAAATTTACCCTACCGATTGCTTAGTAAATTAAACTCCCGGAGAGTTTAATCTTCATTGAGTAATGTAATTTATAATAATACTTTTTCAATACGTCGCATAAAAACAATAGTAAAATAAATTGTCAAAAAGAGTATAATAAACTCTTTGAAAAGTGTAAAAAAAAACATTTTTTTATAAAAAGCGCCGGCAATACTTAAAAAAAAACTACTTACTTTACTACTTACTTTTTAAAATTATGAATTTTCAAAGCTTATTACAAAGTTGGAGACTGATGAAAATAAATGTGCTTGCATGGTGTACTACGCTACTCATTAGATTTGCACGGCGCTACTTAACTTTTTTGTTTGATAATTACTACTATGTTTAATAAACATAGAAAAAGAGTTAGACTACTAACGGCATCAATAAGTGCTTATAATAAATAAACTAGACTTGATAAATTAACGAAACAAATTTAGACACAATTAATCATTTTTGTATTTTCTTTAACATTAAATTTAATTAATATTATATATAACATTATGATTTAAAGACATTATCCAATTTATTTTGATACTTTTAAAAGGCGGATAAATTTAAATTAAAAGAAAATATTTTGCATGATTTTTAGAGGATTGCTATATTTTTAGAGGTAACTGCTTCGAAAATACTTTATTTGATAGAAAAAAAGTTGGTAGCCCTAATCTGTATGTATGTTTACGATGATCTCAAAAACTACTGAATTGATTTCCAGTCAGATTTCACGATCTTTTAATAACATAATTTTTCACGGGAGGATTATATGTATAATGTATTAAATATTACATGCTTGCAGAACAAAAAATTGAAGACCACTCCAAAGCCAAGCAATGGTCACTAGCTAAGTATAAGAAAAAAGGTTAAATACTGGGCATGATCGAGTGCTGCTTAACATAAGAAGGGTCAACTAAAAATATCAACGGGTTTACACTTTGGCGTGAACAAGTTGTTTTGTCGACCTTATTAATGTTCAGGAGCTTCCAAACATTGAATAACGTGTAAGAAATTAGCTTACAAAAATCCTTTATTAACTATTTTATATATATATATATATATATATATATATATATATATATATATATATATTAGTAGCTATAAGAGAAAGAGAGAAAGAAAATGTGCGCGCGCACTGCTTTCTCTTGCTTATATCCCCCACTCAACTCCCGTTCGTCTCGCCCGAACACTTTTCGTAACGCGTAACGCATTCGCCAGCTAACCCCCCAAGTCAAGCGTGCCTAAAGAAGTTTCACTTCAACAAGGTGCTTAGCAATACTAAATCGCATTCATGCAAAGCGGGGTTCATTATACTCTGGTTCAAACGTAAGAAACAATTGAAAAGCTATAGCAACAAGTTGGGCCCGGAGCTTTCAAGTGCTGTATTTCCCTCAACACTTGCTCAAACAATGGCCCACTTCCACTCTGATAATAAACAAATGCATTGGAATGTTGTATACGAATTATAAAAGCAACAATTTTCTAAAACATAACAGCATTATTTTTGGTGCTCTAAAGTTCAGTGGCTTATTATGATTGCAAAACGATATGAATAGGTCAACAATGTTATTTACACTCAAACATCTCTACCTATTTGATAATAATAACATTGTTTATTTACTAATACGTCAAAGTACTTTGTAGTGTTTCATGATTTTGTTCAATGATATTTGAGTGCATTAATGTTTTTAATAAGATGATCTTATTCAATATTCATCAATTTCTGAATTGTGTTACTTGATCTTAATAAGATTACACAATTAAATAAT